AAACTGGACAATCATCACCATTTGAGCATCATAGAAAAGTTAGTGTAGTGCTTATTTTTGTTCACTTTTCTTCTCCTTTTGAAAACTTGTAGTACCATCGCAATTCATCTTTGATTATTATCGTTCTAAGTGCAATGTGATGAAATAACATGTTGCTTCAAATGTATTGCAAAATTAATTTGACATTTATTTAACATGCGTTCTCATTTATTTTCTTTTGATTTGGCACTCGTGTCTGATAATCATGGAAAAGAAAGAGTATAAATACTCAGCTTTCGTAGAGAGAGAGTATCACTTCTCATCCTTCGAATCGACTTAAACAAACAGAGATGGCAAAGCAAATGGTTTACATGTTATCGTTGGTGGTATTCATATTGGCGTACGTGTTTTCGACGATTGATGCCAGTCCTCAATACGGTGGCAATAATCATGAAGGGGACTACCACATTAAGCGTAGTAAGAGTCGGAATGTTGATGATGAAGACTCGCACAAGAAAGAAGATAAACTCAACGCTCGCTACGAAGACTCGTACGGCAATAAACGCGAGCGAAATGAAGCCAATCGAGCTCATGAATTACAACATCATAAAGAGGCTGATTCAGAGCTGGAAGAGAAACGAAGCAAAAACAACCGTCATCCATCTGAATATTCGGATAAAAGCAGTGACAGTGGACACAGTAACAGCTATCCGAGTGGGGATAGCGATGATAAATACCACCGTCGTCCACATAGCGATGATAAATACCACCGTCGTCCACAAAAATATTCAAATAAAGGCAGTGACAGTGACTCCAGCGACAGTGGAGACAGTAACAGCTACCGGAGTGGAGATAGCGATGATAAATACCACCGTCGTCCAAATAAATATTCGAATAAAGGCAGCTACAGTGGCTCCAGCAGCCGTGGAGATAGCGATGATAAATACCACCGTCGTCCAAATAAATATTCGAATAAAGGCAGCTACAGTGGCTCCAGCGACAGTGGAGACTACTACGAATCAACTACAGCAAAACCGACTACAGCAAAACCAACTACAGCAAAACCAACTACAGCAAAACCAACTACAGCAAAACCGACTACAGCAAAACCAACTACAGCAAAACCAACTACACCAAAACCAACTACGAAACCTGAAAGTTCATCATCTGAGGGTTGGTAAAGATGAATAATTAGCAGGAACTGAATCTTTTCTTTTATTCGTCTGCTTTCTATTATATCACATGTAGTCATCATTCTAATTGACTTATCCGTTGACTCGAAAGGAATCGACAATATCATATTGTTTCTATACAATAAAATATTTATTTTTCTTGGTCACATTACTTTCCGAAGAACATTCTCAACAAGCACCAACTAACTAGTACTACGACAGCTCTGACGATCATCGTTGTGCTTGCAAGGCAACAGATAAATGAGGCACATTCCCAATTCTTTAATTCTTATTCCTAATCACTCTCGTATTATGTCTTGACGTGTGTGTTTGTCTGTCCGCTAACAAGTTGTGTCTACGCCCCAATGCACAGGGGGTAAGTCCCGGGTGCCCAGACTAAATTGTGTCCATGTGTGTTCTGTACCTAAGTTTAGAACCTACGAGAAACTATTGATAGACTGCGAGGAGACTAAGGAAAAGTGCAATCAGACAAAAGGAAACTAGAGATTCTGAATGGAAATTAAGGAAAATCGAAGCAGACTAGGAGAAATACGTGGGAAACCACTGTAAACAGCTAAGAACTTGATAATAGAAGAACAATTATGTAATAATTTACACAATGTTTGTCTCGCTTGCTTCGACGAGCATTCCCTAACTGGTCGAACTTTCTTCTCACCGAAGCAGTTTTTTCTTAATGATCAGTTACCATGAGCTGGAGCTATTTTCGTTATACACCTCACAGACATGATGCTACCCCGAGCTCACATAATTACTAAGAAGAAATTCTACTCTGCCCCGAACTGCACATTTCTGCCTTGATCGGCGGTCGACGACTTCCTTTACTATTCGATATCCCTTCCATTTCGAAAACCAGTAATAAGATTAGATCGGCAACATCAAACACTATCCGTTCCAAAACACCGTGCACTTGGTTGTTTTGTAAATAACCATGGATAGAGGCGTGATAGCGACCTGAGGTTTTCAGTTTTGAAAACTAGACACCTCCCAGTCAGTCACCTATATGTTTTAAAAATTCGTTTTAACACGGTTTTAGCTTCAAAATATCGCGCGAAACTCTGTTTACGAAAAACTTACCACGAGAAATTCGTTTGAAACTAGATCGCCAGAATCGCGTTTGAGGTAATTCTTGAGCCAATCTCGCGTTTGTCGCATTACGTTACGTTAAAAACGCTGTTTTCACTGCTTATTTGGGATAGAAATGCCTAATTCTGCGACTTCTGTCTACAAAACGAGTTTTACGTGTCAGAGAAACGATCTTCTAAATTTCGAAAAAGCGAAACGCGTTTTTCAAATTTTATTTGTAGCCAAAACGCGTTAAATTCGTTTCAAGTGAGTCAGAAACTCGAAAAACTCGGTGGCGTTCGCGAGTCTTAAAATCTGTTGCACCCGAAAACGCGCTTTTAGAAAGTTATAATGGTCATAAACGCGTTTCTCGCGAATTATTGATAGCAAAATTATTGATTGAGTCGTATATTTAAAGCTCATGAAATTCGCCGTTTTCATACTGATACTTAATATTCTCGCGCTCTATGAATGCTAAAAAAGCGTTAAAACGAATTTTCAAAACATATAGGTGACTGACTTGGCTGATCTTATATTTCTGTAGGCAAAAGCGAATTTCAAATTTCAATATAAATGAGAAATAACAGGGGTCCTAAAATAGATCTCTGTGGGACTTCACGATTAATCTTTCTCCTACAGGAAATGATACCGTAGCTAACAGATTATTTTGAGTTACGTAGTTATAAAGACGGGAATATACTACACTTTCCAAAGGTTTTGAAAAGACATGCTGTAAAGGAACAGGTCTATGATTATCCGGCTGCCAGCGTTCACCGTCTTTGAAAAGTGGAGTAATACATCCTATTTTAAATGAACATGGAAACTCTCCTTCACTAACTGATTGATTACAAATATCTGCTAACGCCTCATTTATCACATCACTAGATCCTTCAACCATTCTGCCAGTAACTTCTGAACTACAAGCCTTGTTTGCATTTAATTGTCGTAGTATTCTTTCAATCTCACCTGGATAAATTTTTTCTGTAATATTAAATTTAGCAGAGTAAAAAGGAAGGGTGTCGATAGGAATAAAACCTACACGTGTCTTTATCACTCATAGTACAGATAGATGCAAAGTGTTCATTAAAGATTTCAGCTTTAGCAAAGTCATCGTAAATTTTTTTGGCGATGGTCTGTTTTTTTTTGTATTGAGTAAAATACGTATTTCACTGTCTATGCATATTTCGTAATTCTTCTGTGAACCAAGATTTATCGCGCGCTGTAATCGTTATATGTTTATTTGGAATAGCTACATTCGCCGCTCTAGTCATAGCAGTAGAAAGTAACTCGATTTTTTCAATTATGGAGTTAGAAGAGTGAAATGAAGAAGAATTAAGATTTTGAAAAACTAAATATCGGTAATAGTTCCAATCAGTACACTTATAATTGAAGATTTTCATTTTGTATGAAGTTTGTTGAACAGATTTCACCGAAAGAACAATGCTTAAAACTGAATGATCACAAATAGTTGATCATGATGACTCGATGACTCATCGGTTTACAGTCTATTTTTAATGTGCTGCTCTCTATCGGTTGACTTCACTGTCTGGCTCTAGCATTTAGGGAACCGAAATTTTAAATTAAATTAATAACTTTCGCGTTTGAATTTATTTACAAAACAGTGTCTGAATTTCGGCACCTTACTACGGCGATATTAAGTTCGAAGTAAACGAAAATGGCTAAAGATAAAGCGTGGAATAACTGTGTAAATTTCTGCGTGCGTGTTATCAGTGTTTCTAACGTTCTCATTAGAAACCCTGCGTGTTATAGTGGGTGTGGTTGGCTTTTCTTCTAACCTGGCTGTGAGAAGCTATGTTCGAAGCGTGTTAGAGCCTATAGACGCGAAAGCATTAAGAGAGAATCCATGAATATACCAAAGATACCTTCCATCTCCTCAATTTCAACATTCGTTTTTGATCACAGATTCTGAAAGAGCGTATACGATTTCGTCAGAAAACTATTAAAAATTCTTTTAGAAAACTCTTTGGTACAGAGCGCCCGACGTCTCATTCTAGTACCCACATGCAATCATCATTCTTCAGAACCGTGTGAAAACGGTTTTGATCTCAGACATGAATTAAAAAGTGTGTAAACCACTTTACTTTATATATCACTCAATAGATAATTTCGAGGGCTACACAATAATATATAACATAGCCTTAAGAAAATGTAACTGGCTAGT